CTGGGACACCTAAGTAGTGCATCATTGGAGACTTACTGTCAAGCACACACACACACACACACACTCTGTATACTCTACGCTGTAATTAACACTATGGTGACTAAACTGGGTAACGTGTCATCATGTGCAAAGGGTGAATATGGTCTGGATATACACAAAGTATACAGCAGCATAATATGTTGTGTTATGAGAAAAGTAGGTAACACAAAATACTTCAGTTAACATTATTGACAAGCCACCAGAAAGAAACACGAATCATGATATCTTCACCAATGTCCCTTTATCATGCATTGAGCTAAAAACTAACTTACATTACATTCACTATAACAGGTGGTGGTCTAGAAGATGATTAGTAGTGTTGCCCTCCTATAAAAACCAGAACACAACAGCACTTGAAACTGGTCAACATCGGATGGTATAATTGTTGCTAAGCACGGTAATTGAACGGCTTCAATAAGTATAATTGGAATAGGAAATACTAACATCGGGAATTTTATCATGGTTTCGTATGAAACTTTGACCTTTCCCCTAAGCTACTAACATCAGCTTTCCAGGTGATGCAGTAAAAATTATCCACAAAATAGTTGACTTTGCATTAGAAACATTTACATAGTTATTAAATTTAAAAAATAAAGCCTTTATTGAAGATTAACTGCAAGATAACTCTAGCGTGTGTACCGTCGACAACTTTCAGGAGTTGAGTTTCACCTTTTCTGCTCCGTCAACAAAACTTAATGATGTACAAAATCCGTCGAGCTGATTCTGAACTGTAGAGGGTAAAATTCATGATCCTTATGAGAATCTACTTTCCCAACTTCTAAAGGTCAATACCATTCTAATGTCTGTAAAGTAAATGTGAGGCTAAGTCAGGCCAGCAGACTTTTGAACAAATGCCATATAATATTTTAATTAGTGAGTTTTCGAGGTGCTCCAGCTAATCGTCTGCTGGCACAATAGTTTCTTATTTAGCGAACATAAAGTAGTCAATCCTTTAGTCCAACCTCTGGCAAGAAGTGAATAACTTTTTCCCCCCAAAATGTTGAGCTATTCATTCACCCAAATTAATTGTTATAATGGTTCAATACATACAATGAGGGGATTATTTCTTAAAAAAAGAAAACATTAGTACCACACCTTGAAAAAACATTTTACGGACAGTGCAAGTGTGTTTAAATGCAGGTCCCCCGCCTGTGGGCAGTTTTATTGCTTGATAGTGCTGCTGATCTCTCTTCAATCGACTTCTCTTGTCTATGTATGTGTGGTAAAGTGTACATGCGTGTGTGTGTGTATGCTTGTGTGGATGTGTGGACCCATGGCCTGTGGGGCAGAGGCTTCTGTCAGGCCCACGACTGAGTGATGAATGTGTGTGCAGCGAGGGGAACCGGGTGCCAACTGCATTGACTTGTCCACCGACTGTGTGGACATCTATGTGTGTGTGTTTGAAAGTGCGGGAGACAAAGACACAAAGTGCGAACATGTATGCATTTAATATGCATGCTTACGGTAGGTTTAAAGTGAATGTATAGGTATCTACAGGTAAAACATGTGCTTGTGGACGTGCATGTGTGTGATTCTGAAACCACAGCAAGATAATACTTCTCTCTTTCTCATCTCCCTCATCCTCGCTCATCCTGACACCCCCCATGCCCTCTCCGTCACACTGCTGCCTCTCATCACAAACCTAATCGTCTCACCCCCTCGGCAAGTACGTGCTGTGCGAATTAAAGTGCCCCTGCCCTCTTTTTCTCTTTCTTATAACTCTTTGTCCTCTTCCTGCTTCTCCTACCTCCTCCTTCTCTTCCTCCTAATAATTTGCAGCTTTTGTATGGAATGGGTGTCTGACTTTAAGTGGCCACAGCATTTCAATAATATGTTTACTTATCTCCATTTAGCTATTGAGCCTCTGACATTTTCAATTTATGTTTACAAATTACAAACATTAACATGTAAATGTGAAGGATGCCTCACAGGGCTTCCATATTCATTGAAAAGGGGTCATGAAATAGGACAACAAACCAATAATGGCACAGCTTGTTCCCAAGCATTTGTGTGCATCAGCGGCTGTTGTGTGGCTAATGGGTCTAAATATGCATGCACTGACGTGGGTGCATACTGCATACATACATGTATACATTTAATTCATGCATACATATAAAGATATATTCCTACAATCACAGACCAACTACTCATTTATTTTTTTTATGATATAGATATGTGTTTATTTGTGTGTGTTTGTGTGTGTGTGTGAAAACGTGGTTTGTTTGTTTGTTATTTTTTTTCCGAGGAATGGTATCTATATTTCAGCAGTAACCCTTTTCGAACATTAGGGGTCACTTTGTTGTAGCAATTAATTTTTCTTTACTGGAACACAATCCTTCAACAGTGCAAAATAAGCAAGGATTTTCATGCATGTTCTAAATTTAATTCACATTTAAGTTCTTGTTACAAGAGACATATTGCTGCACCAGTGAGAATTGTTGGATTTTCCCTTTTTATTTTGCATTTAGTAAGCATAAACTCCAAATACACAGCTATGAATACATTGGGCTTAAAAAGAAAATGCACTTCTCCATCCAACTGAGCAGGAAAATAAAACATACTGCAAAGAGAAAGAGTGAATTGTAAACCAGCTACCAGAGCCTCTCGAAAGGCTTTTCAATCAAGCAAGAAGCCCTAATTCATTTTCTCCTCCAAGCTGCAGTTGGTTGCAGTTGAAACTACAATTACATGGATAGACAGAGTGACTTAATGCTCATGGAAGGGAAAGAAAAAGGCAAAGTCTATATTCAGGAGTTCAAACTGCGTTTGGTGCAAGTGTGGCTCTGAAGACTGTAACAGAGACTGCCTGTGGCTGGAAAGAGGAGTAAGGCAGGAGTAATCTATAACTGAGAGGCTAGTAATGAGAAAGATGTGCCAGCCGTCTGCTCGCTGTGATAAGATGAGGAAGTTCCCTCAGGGCCTAAAGCATCTCTGACCCAAACAACAAAGACAACAAACGGGTTACTGCCCAAACCATTCCTATTTTTCTCCCTCCCTTCCTCTCATTCTTTTCCTCTTCCATCCATCTTTTCCATTTCTTTCTGCCCATCCTTCTTACCGTCTCCTCCCTTCCTCTTCTTTACTTCCCATCTCTCTACCCCCTTTGTCTCCAGCATTTTCCCCCCCTACTCCCCTCTCTCTCTCTTACCATCTATTCATGCCTAAATCTAGCTCCATACAAAGCCCCACTGCCATGTAATCGGTTTCATCAGCGTTTTTTATTAGCTAAAGAAGAATACATGGTAATTAAGGGGAGTGCGGCCAGGCGTGACGGGGAGAGGCTTCACCCAGCTGCTGATGTGGAACAAGAAGGAAGGAAAGAAATAAATGAGATAGAGGGGAGAGAATAGGGTGTGTGGGGGCAAGGACGTGAAGAAAAAGAGAACGACAGCCAAGAAAGGGCAAGAAAGAAAAAGGGAGAACGACGGCAATGAAAGGGCAAGAAAGAAAAAGGGAGAACAGACTGCGAGATAAGGAAGGTTTGAATGGCGACAGGAAATGAAAGGCTGGAGCGTGGGGGTCACAATGATTTTGGTCGCACTCTCCAGTGTTGTGTAGAAGTGCATGCAGTAGGAATGGAAATGAGACTAATGTCCTGTTAATGTGGTCCGAGTCACACTGAACCAATATGAGGACCTTGACTGCCATCATCTGCCTAATCCCCTGTGTCCACTTAAATGGCCCATTCAGGACAAGTACACCATGAGGGTGCGTTCTGAACGAGGACTCCGGCGTTGTTTCATGCTAGGTTGATTTTTATGTTCTTCACACTGGATGAATGATACATGTGTTAATGAAGTAGATGAAGAGATGCTTCTCATTGTTGAGCAACCTGATATTACTGAGGAGCACTGGGACTGATCAAATCCCACTCACCCTCACATTGGGTACCTTTTGAAGTGCCCTTGAATTCTTAAAATGTAACTTATTTTGGCATAATACGATTAAAATGAGCATTCCTAATTTTTTTAATTCTTTGTGTTAAATTACTACAATAATACAATCAGTATGTCATGATCCTCCTTGAGCTTTGTATCAATTACCACAGTATTTGTTAATTTGTGGAAGACGGCTTGTGTGTGTATATGAGCCTGCACAGAAAGGTGAATTATATGCATTTCCTCGATACAGGATGTTCATTTCACACACAGAGAGTTCTAACAGAAGCCAGTGGACCAAAGAAACCCAAAGCTAAAATATATTTCCCAAAACACGTCGACCGTTCTGCCACCAAGCTGTGCTAACATTCATTTTTTGCTGAAACAGCCACTGGCCTGCTAGAGCAAGTTTGCCCAGAGCTGAAATATCAATTATACTGTTCTCCCCGGCAGAGAGTGTGAAGCTTTAATCTTCACTCAACCAATCAAAATTTTGTCTGGACTGAACTGAAAGAGGAAATTGTTGGCCACACTTAAAAAGGCCAGTAGTTTCAATCCTACAAACTAATTTTGACACAAAGGGGGTTTGTTGTTGGACTGCTTTGTTGCCATATCATGCTTTTCCATGTTTCCCCCCCTCCCTTTCAGCACCACAAATGAACACAATATCAACTACAGATCCATTTTCTGTCCGCTGATACTGCGCAGGGTCATGGGGGCTGACATCTGCAGCATAATATTGAGCAAAAGGCAGGTCATACCCACTATCTATTGTACAAAGACAAACAACCCAATTCATGTTCTCATTCACCTACAGCTAAAACAAACAGTTTCCAGCTCACCTCCAGCAGTTACCTGCCTGTCTGGACTTTGGAAGGAAACAGACACACAAAATAATTCAATACAAATATGGATACATATGAACATGTGCACACATGTCCCCTGGCTAACTCACTTCTGCATCATTCCCTGGATTTACTGGTACCCTAAAACCAAGCCTGGCTCTACAATAACTTACACTTTAGACTAAGATGATTTTGATCTGAAATCCAAGGCTTCATTCTAAACTGATCCATTCAGGAGGACAGGCAGAAAATGTGTAAAATCTTCTGCTCAAACTAGTTAAAATATGGACTAAAGTGCAAGACCACATATTCAAACATTTCCTCTGCTTCCACACGGGCATTATAGACTAAACATCCTCCCAAATTCTTCTGTCTTCTTCACACAGCACTGGCCCCCACTGAGCAGCAGCAACAGCTTCCTGGCTGGCATGTGAAGACTGTAATTTTCCGCCACACTTCCCCTGCTGTTAGCTGGCTCTTTCCTTGGTGCTGTGGAGATAGTGAGCGAGCGGTGAACAAGGTGCGGGCCTCGCCAGCTCTCCTGCCTCTGTGCGATTATTAATGCAGCAGCAGCCAGCGCGGCCGCCAGGTTAAAGCAGCAATCAACACACACTAAATAAGATCATTCACAGCCTCTTTAAAAGGTAGACAGACGGAGCTGCAGTGAGACACACACACAAACACACATACCGGTGAGCACATGGATGAAAGAGGGTGCAGGTGAATGGAAGAAGGCACAGTGGATGCAAACACATACTTGCTTAGTGCTATGTAGATGACAAATGCAGGCCTATAGTATAATCAACAGAAAATAATTATGGTATAAATAAGTCGGAAATAATTACTATTACATTGGTCTTCACATCATTCAGAAGTAAAGTGAGGTGTGTGTGTGATGTAAATTAATATCGTACTCTAGACACTGCAGCCTATACTGAACATCATTCTGCTGGCATCTTGATGATCTAAGCTTTAGCTGACGTTACACAGGCTATATATCAGAGCTCATCCAAGAAACTTTTAAAAACATTCACCTGGTGCAAACACATCCCCAGACAAAGACATATTGTAAATAAGCATACAAAAATGAATTCCATAAAAAGTTTGTCATATGTCCAGCAGATATAGTATTTTACTGAAAAGCTCACAACAAACACAAAATTAAAAGAATTATACACAGTGTGTAACTGTTGTATAAAATACTGTGCAAAAAGTTTTGTTTCACTATTTCCTTTTAATTGTGTGTTCCTTTTAAAACTAACTGATGTCCTCCGGGGAGGTGGTGCTTGTCAGCTGGTGCATGCTGTGAATGGAAATCAATGAAAAGGGGGTTGAAGTGTAAACAGATTATTAACACTCTGTTCTGTACCCATTTCACTGTATTACATACCTCTATGATTCCCAATAGATGACCTGAAGCACAATAGATTTGCAGGCGTAAGCTCTGCAGAAATCCATTGGTAATTTCAGCCCAATCAATTATCCATTCAAGCTTATCACATTCTCAGTTTAGTTTGTTTTGATGTCCTGCTGTACGTAACAAAGACAAACTACTTACAGAGTAGATTTTGAGAGAAATTGCACTTTATTTTTCAAGATATGTGCTATTAAGTTGTAAAACATTGTTTGATTCAGTTTCATTTTAGGTAACAAAACTCAGTTTTAATTTTAATTATGTTGAATTTGTGTGAACACAAGCTTCTGTGTTCAGATTGTTTCATAAATATAAATATAAAGGGAATATTTATTACCATGTTGTGAAACCTGTCCATTTAATAAGGTTGAGAAGTAATAAGTAACAAAAACACCTCAGAATATTATATTATCTACTATTTATACTAGAAACATTGTTGGATGTGAGCCAAATTTAAGAGTGGGTCATATAAAGATCATTGTAATAAAGTCAAATAAACTACTGTCACATAAAATTATATTTTATAATATATTTAAATACAGTACTGTTAGCATAGAGTTCAATAAAATTGAATCAAGTACATTTACAATGACCTCTCAACTCCCATCTTAATGTGGTAAAGGGGTTTATATGTCCCTTTGATTCTCGATTGTGGTGTTGTCCAGGGAAGTAGCCTTTGGTAGGGATTTCCAAAGCTAATTGGTCCCAGGGGAGGGGCCGGAATAAGAGTAATGCATAAGAACACATAACAACATAGTTGCTAGAAGAGGGGAAACTTGGGTCCCCTCTGGAATCAGACCCTAACCCATTGTCAAACGTCTGGTGGTCAAGCCTTAACCATGGGGTCTGGTGTGATAGGAAAGAGCAACCCCAAACAAGAAACAGGGGTGAACTAGGAATGTCTGGCAGAGTCCCGTCTATGACGAAGAATGTCCTGTTTATCCTGAGGGGGGTTGGGCCATGTTCAAAGCATACATAACGGAAGAGACAGGCAGGAGATTTGATCAAGGTAATTGTTGCCTTTCAATGAAGCAACCTAAAAACTCAGGTGAATACAAGCGGTGAGAGAAGCTGTCAAGGCTAAAGGAGGCCTTTTTGGCTTGTTTAGCCCAGAGGTCTCCTGAAGCAGAAAACAGCCAGCAGGAGGCTGCAGCTTTGGAAGCTGGTAGATACTTTATTTCAGAATTTCAAGGTAAAGTCATAGTAAGGAGAGTGCCCAGTTGGGGAACCTCAGAATTAAGTCCTTGCTCTTTGCAAACTTAATATATAATTTTCAAGAGGCCAAACACATATTTTGTTGAATCACAGTGACCTTGATCATCAAAATCCAATCTGTTTAAACTTGAGATCAAGAGAAACAATGCTGAATTTCACTAAATTTTCCTTTTTTGCAAGGTCCCTTGACCTTTTACCACAAAAATGTAAAAAGTAGTAGTCAAGCAAACATTTGTGCCACATTTGAAGAAATTACCTTAAAGTGTTCCTGAAACCAAAAGTTTCATACTTGAGACCAGGTATACCAAATAGTGAGAAAATTTACCATGATGTCCCTGACATAGTGTGTTCACAAGAGTGGAAAGGACGGTTCACTTTCTGTTCACATTAAACATCAGACAGAGAAAAAAATATGATTCACTGACCGTGATTGCTGTAGCCATAAGAACTTCATGTTCATTTCATGCACAACAGTCTCTTAAGTCTACTCAGACCAATGTCAAAATTCACCAAAAAAATAATAATGAGCAACGGTTTGGCAGCTATTGTTGATAAGAAAGGTCAGAGGATCGGACTGGTTGGAGCTGAGAAAAAGTCTATGGTTACTCAGATGGCTGCTCTTTGCAAAAACATCTAAGCACGTCAAGCCTGTGTATGAACCTTCTGTGCTATTTACACTGCACAGCAATTTGCATTTCATTGTTAATTGATTCAAAAGTTTCACTCTATAAAGTCACTGTTCATCACAAACATTTGAGTCTGCTAATATAGCCCTAAGAGCTCATTAGTTTGATGTGATATTGTAAAATAAGAAGCATGCACAATGTTTGGGGAAATATTAGCAAATGCATGCAGGTAGAAAAAAAAGACAAATTAGACACCTATGTGAAAAAAGGCTAATGTAATTTAAAGAAAGAAAGTCTTGGGTCAAAGTTTTATTTTCCAACACAAACTTGATTTGCTTTAAAGATCAATTCTCAACTCAAAAAAAAGACTCAAAAGGGAGAAATACTTTAAGTAACTAGAAATTGTGTGGTATTTACACCCAACCCTGATGTTCAGTGAACACATCGAAATAGCATGTGTGGAGGAGGTGAGGTGTAATTTTTCAGTACTCTGCACTTTTACAAACATGATGGAATTGAGCAATGAAAGAAAAAAGAACAGTATTTAGACAAAGAGCAATGTCGAGTGAAGAGATAGCATGAGCAGTATAGGTGGGGGGAAAAAAGGGTTGGTGATTGTGTTGAGCCATCCATGGTGAAAGCACAAGTGTTTTTCCTGCTCTGAGAGGGGGGGGAATAGTCACTGGGCAGATAGATGGGAGGAAAAGTGCTGCTGTGGCACTGATAAAGTGACTGAGGACCACTACTGCCACACGTGGATAATTCCAGACACAATCTTCTACCCTCTTTTCTTTTTCCTATGCTGCCAACCCCTGTTCTTGCAAGCATAATAATGGCTGTTTTTGTCCCCTGCCCGCCCCGTGTCTGTCTCTCTCGGTTTCCCTCTCACCCCCTCTCTCTTATTCAAACACACACACTTACAGTGTCAAAGATGTGGGGAAAAGTATGAGGGGAAACACTTTGGGATATAGTGAAGCCCTGACAACCTTTCATTAAAACAGGCAAAATTAGAGGTTTGTAAACTACTTCTCACCTCAGCCACCCAAGCTCATCCACCTCAACCTTATCCTTTGTGGCTCCAGCCTGCACATTCTCTATCTCTTGGTTGTCAGAGCATTTTATCTCTTGAGGCTTGTGAGCAAGAAACTGTGTTTGATCTGCACTTGCACATTATCACTGGGATGTAAAAATGCCTTCGATGTATACACCACAAGCTCAGCTAGAGGGGGAAAAAGACATTAGCACAAAAGTTCACAGTTGATGGCATCCAGATATGCTGACACCTGTAATAAAATAAGGCCAACCGGGTGTGCAAGTGGAGTTGACATTGCATATAGGTGTACAGCCGGGCATCTGCATAAAAAAGCCTCTGCTTCTGCCAGCAGCCATCATGGCCTTGACAGATTAGAAATTGTGTGTGTAAGGATTCACCGCAAATAATGAGAAATGAGTTTTAAATTGTAGCTCAGGCACTGTGGAAAAATGGGCCCTGTCAATATGTGGTGTGTGTCATGCACGGAGAGGGGGGGAAGTCAGAGAGTGTACTAGAGGATTTAGAGGGAGAGAGATAGGGAGAGACACAGACAGAGGGAGAGAGAGAGAATGAGGGATCAGGGGATGACTTTGTTTTGGTTTACTGCTTATTACCATCATAATCCTTTGTCCTGTTTTCCACTCTGCAGTCCGGGCACACCTCTCGCCTCGTCTCTGCGTTAGACACTATGATTGCCTTGTATTTAAGAAGCCTTCTGTGAGCCTCTGTTCCGACAAATGCTTTTCCAATACCAATCACAGCTGAGTGCACCTCATTTGAATCTGTGAAAGGGGTTTTGATTCCATCAGCAGAATGCTCCTCCAAGCGCGGCACAGACCATTCAATACTGTGGCAACGTGTGAAAGCCTCAGAATATTCTCACCTAGTATATGCATACACTGTAAAGGCTTTGAACGAGGGCTGCCTAGCCTCTTCAAACCGTGTTGTTCATTAATCCCCTTTTTATTCTCTACATAGGACCTCATTAGCTGTTCCTCTTTATGGCATTTGGAAATTGTAAGCTGTGCTCCATGTGACTTTCAAATGTGTGATGAAACAGAAGCGTTTTACTGATCATAAACTTTGATGAGGAGTGAAAAAGGCTAATTGTACACTTAGTTTTAGTGTTTGATAGTGTTTATGCCACTCGGTCACCCTCTAATGTGTATGTATACATTAAGTGTGTCTGCATTTTACTGCG